TAATATAATAATAATAATAATAATAATAATAATAATAATAATAATAATAATAATAATAATAAATAAAAATAATAATAAAAAAAAAGATTTATATAATATAAATATTATAAAAAGTTTTAAATTATAATAAATACTTTATATAATTAAAACCTTTTAGGCTTATAATTATAAAGTATTAATATAATTATATAAAATAATAATATAGTTAATATAGTTTATAAAAGAATAATAAAAAATAAAGATAATAAAGAAAATTAGCCTTATATTAAATAAAGCTATAAAGAATAATTAGTTAATTTATATATCTTATTTTTTAGCCTTAGGCTATATAATTTAAGTTATAAGATAATATTATATCTTAGGATACCTAAGGTTATTACTTATCTATGTTTATTGTTAGTGTGGATAAGATAAGCCCTCTTATCGGGGCAGTGCTCTATGCGATATCGGTAGTGCGCCCCATGTTGTGCGGAGATTTTTTTTTTGCGAGCAAGCCTCAGCTGGGTGTCAGGGACACGCACGCACACCAACCACCAGTCCGGCGATGAGCTCAGCTAGGCTTACCAGTAATTGTTTCGAACTTGTCCAGAGGCGGCAGGTGTTGGGTTATCCATCGAACGATTTGCGTGGTCGAGTTCTTGTTCCCTTTAATTTCAGTCAGTTGTTATGTGTTTTTTTTTTCCCTTTCCTCATCCGTCGTTATTCCCTCCATTCCTCTCAGCCATCGTGCGATTGTGGACATGAGTGCCAACTAGATCAAAACGCCTCGCCACATCATCCGCTCTCCCAAAACCCATCGGAATTTCCCGAGAGCATATCCTGAAAGGGGAGGAGGGGGGGGGGGGGAAGGGGGTCCAAAAGGGCTGGCCGTGAAAATCCTTGATGACATGATGGGCTGACCCGGCATCCTGGACAAGTCTAGATGCCACAGCTAGACGAGAAGGGGCAGTCGTGCGCGTTCTCTGCTTCCAATTCGGGGGTTTTCCGTGGTTTCCTTTCAGCGCGAAAGCCTTTTCAGCGCATGTTCTGCCCTGGGGGTGTGTGTGTGTGCCTGCGAAATGGCTGCACTGGATGGTCGTCCCCCCGCAATATAGAGTGACCCTGGCGAAGCCTCATAGAGCTGTAGAACGGAGAGATGCCGTACGCTTGCCTATGAACGGACACAGTAGGTTTCGTCTTGGGAAGTAGTCACAGGGCTGGGTTCGACTGGTCTACGAATTACATACCAAGGTAATAGTTAGTTGGCGGGTTGGTGGTTGGTTCTGGTGGGTTGTGGCTGTGCACCGCTGGCCCGTCGCTATCGTGCAGCCGCCAAATGCCCGCCTTCCAGGTACCAGCAAACCAGTTCCTCCATCTAGGGTAGCCAACTTTTTCGCCTGCAAAAAACCGTGCCCACTGTCCGTCACTCCGCCATCAATCACATCTTACATCGGAGGTCCCGAATGTAGCCTGCCGCACCTGAGCTTCGGACTCTCGCCGTTGCCATCTGCCATCTTCTTTCTCTCTCTCTCGCGTGGCACTCGAATGGCTGTATTTGCTAGATCCGGCCCCAGTTCTTGTACTCGAAAAAAACAGCCATTGCTAGAGGATGCGGAAAATAAAATGGTATTTTCCGCATCTCGGAGATGTTTCGCGTTTTGGCCCAAACCCCGGCTCAGCTGAAGTTGTACCAAACTTTTGCCCGCCGCCGCCGCCGGCCCTACAGATTATGTGGGCGGCTGTCATCCCAACTGTTTTGTCAGCCGCCCTGCCGACGGCGACAGTTGCCGAAATTTGGGCTCGATGAGATGCGCGCACCCGTCCGTCCCTTCTTTGACCTGCGTTTGTCTTCTGTCTTTACGTATTTTCTAATCAATTTTTTCTTTTTCCTTTTCGGTCTTCTGACAGGGTCAATCTGCGTCCCTCCCCCACGCTTTTTTTCTTCTTTTTCTTCCTTTTTGCCTCTTTCTACTCCGTACAGGAAAACGCATTCGCGATGGGGCCCCGAGATCTCGCCCACAAACCGCCGCCCCGCCCACAACATGGCATCGCCAAATTCCTCTCTACGGCGAGGCCGCTGAGTACTGCTTGGTAGTCGCACCGCCCGCTCTTCTTTCTCTACTATATACAGAACGAGACAAGTCTCTGCCCTTCCCGCTTCGGCACATGGACCCCAGCTCCAGTCGCCAACCCCTCCTTTCGATCCTCGGTCCAGAGAACGCTCATACCACGCAAAACAGAAACCCTACCGCCGCGGGCGTTTTTTATAGTGACACATTTGAGACACAAAACA